GTGGGGTTAAAGATATAAGAGCATAAATTACTTTATACAACATTTATTTTTAATTAATTCCCCCACTCACATATAATAGAAATAGGATAAATGCATGACTTATGCATATAGTACTTCTCAATGTAATGTTTTTTTCCTTCTTTTATCTCATAATTTGTAAGTCAGGGCAGTGAAAAATGGTATCACTAGCTATGTAACCAAATCTCTGCAGTGTTTATTCAGATACATGGATATAAATTATTTTAAGGAAACAGCAGAAATCTTTATTTGTGTTAATCTGCTAGAAAGCTAATATGGTTAATGTATAAACAGAAATATATGCTGTTTTCTAAAATATGCCCACTGCCACCTTGTGGTTAGTAATTGGTCTTTCTCCATTAGAAATAGAGTCTATATTACCTCATCTTCAGGAAGTGATATAAAATTTATTATCTATGATTCAGGGTTCCCTTTTTCATATGAAAGTTCAAGCTATTTCTACTCAGTGATAGCTTTAACCATTATTATTTCCTTAGCAAGCCTAGCTATTTTATTCATTTTGACAGAGACGGTGTGTTCAGTTTCTTTATATTGCATTTTTATATCTGTTTTTTATGTAAAATTGATTTGCAATTTCCTGGTCTCTCCTAGTTCTCTTGTCTCTTTTGGCTACTCCTTTTGGTTAGCCAAAATTCCATGTTGATATTGGCAATCTTATTTCTATAAAAAGGAAACCACTTTTAATCAGGGTATCTTCAGTATAGGAAACAAGGATAGATGCTACATAGACAGACAGATCAGATAGACACCAGTTATATTCCTTGAAAAAAGTAGTCCCTTGGCCTGAAATATGAGGATAAATTAGGTAGCTCTATTACTAAAGTTAAACAAATCTCAGTCAGGTTAAACTGTGGGTAACAGAGGGAAAATTCCTTTAGCTATTTGAAGGAGCAAGTTGTTATTAATTAATATATTGGCACATTCATAATTTCCAGTGACTTATGCAAAAATAATACTAATTTATTTCTTCTGCTTTTCCCTGTCATGCTGAAATACTGCTTTAATAGTTATATCTTTATAATACTTCTATAGCTTCTGATGGACAGACAGATTTGGAGATATTTTAAATAGCCATCTGTTGGTTCTCTAGTACTTTTTTGTGTACTGCTTTATTGTTTTGTCCTTGAAGTTTTTGCTGCAGTTCAGAGAACTATAATAGATATATAAAATATTATTACAACTATATATCATTTGTAGATGCATGTGCAACTTTTATTTAGCACATAGCCAATATTCTGATACTCTTATCTCACTTACCTTCCTATATATTTCTTTGCTTTAATATATAAGCAATGAAAAAAAAAAGGTTTCAAAAAATAAAACCAAAAACAGATAAGGCAGAAAGGACATTAAAAAAAAAGACAAACAGATGTACACATATGCAAAACAGCTCAGTTTTTAAATACAACATTAAACATGATTGCAATAAAGATTTGATTGACTGAACATTAAACACTGACCACACAGAATAATATTGATCAGTTTTTCCATTGCATTAAAAAAGTCAGTTCACAAGCAGAAAGTAAACATATATCACCAGTCCAAGATCATAAATCTGGCACGGCACTGTCTTTCCATCATAAAATAATATTTCTTTGCTATAGCTGATGCTCAATAAATCTACAGTTCTTCATAAAATGATTAATTCCAAATGTTTGGCATATTTCAAACTGTCAAAACTACTGTCAGCATCAAAGTAATAGCTTTAAACCATATTATTTTTCCTAAAACCACTTTAACAAACTTAAAACAAAATAAGGCAACAGTGGGCCAAGATGTATCATATGCATATTCTTCCATTTTTTTTATAGAGCATAATGAAATCGATTGGCAATTAAATTATTTTTCCTCTATTTTTTTATTAATTGGAAAAAGGACAAGACATATGGCTTTGCTTTGGATTCAGACACTATCATAAAGCCAAATCTCATTGGTTATGTGGCATCACAAAACCAAACTGAGGTGAAACCAGTCCTTCTTGTCACTATATGTACTTTATGAGTGCAAAGTGAGCCTGTGAATTTTCATAGATGAGGATTCTTCAGCCTGATGTCCCTGTTGGGAATCCAACAGTTGAGCAAAATTTCCAGTCAAAATCTTGGTTCCATGCAACTTCCAGAAACAAGTTATCTCTCATACAATACAGTCCTAATTTCATTCTACAGAGTCAGATACAACTGAATGTATTTATTCCTTGATATTATGTAAATTAGTCTATCATTTGTAACTCAATAATAGGGTAACTCTAATCTATTTTTATTTTGGTTTCAGAGATGTAGAAAACACTGGTCTATTAGCTTGCAATACTGATGTAATAGCATACCTGTTGCAAAAATAGATTTCCTCTATCATAAAAAATATTGAATTGATTATATTAACTATTCTGTCACTTTTGTTTTAGCTTTAAAGTCAGCCATATCTTTATGATTATATCAGAATACATCCAAAATAGTACTTATTCTTTTCATCTGAACATTTGCTTTCTTTCCTATCTTGTTCCATAACATCACTGAAAGTTTTTATTTTAATTTAAGTTAGGTATCTGTATCAGGTAGCAGCAATATAGGGAGATGCTGGAGGTGGATGATCACTTTAATGATAACTGCAAGTGCATCATTTTGTACTGCATACAAGAAGACAATCTTAACCCAATTTTTTTTCCGAGAAAGCCACGTGGATAGACAAAATAAAATGATTGGCAGTATAGTGTAATGATTATGGGTTCCTATGGTTGGATGGTATTCAATATGGCACTGAGGCAGTACTGACAATCTCTTGGAATACTAATGACATTTATAACATGGCTGGATTAAAAAATCAGGACATCTGTACAGAATCTGAAGCTGCAAAAATTGGATCACACTGGCAATATGGAACATGAGAAAACTCAATACAGTGAAAGATTAAATGAATTAATTACAAAATGGTATCTCAGGCATCAAAGAATTCAACTGGTCTAGAATTGGACTCTCATTCATGCTATTCATGATGTGAAAAAACCCGGCATTGCTTTCCTAGTTGGGAAGGATGCAGCAAAGACAATACTTATCTACAATACAGTCCACAATTGAATAATATAAATTAGATTTCACAGAGAGTAGTTTAGTATGATGATTGTCCAAAAATATGCTCAATAATTGATACAGAAAAAAGGAGTGTTATAGTTGTTAAAAGAATATGCAAGCAAGATATGCTGCTTGTGGTTAGAGAATGGAATTCCAAAATGTGAAATTGTAACAAGGAAAGTACAGTTGGACTATATGGCCCATGGAATGGATATGCAGCAAGAGAGCATTTCTCTATCAATTTCTGCCAATCCAATTCATTACTAACCCAAATTAAAAACAACCAAAATGATGTTTGTATATGTAAACATCATCCAGTGGAATATCAAAAAAAATGATAAAGGTAGCATCAATAAACTATGGAATGTTGTCTTGAGTAACTCCTGTATATTCTCAAAGAGACCAAGTGTCAGCCTTCAAGAATCCTTCATCTGCTTGTCTTTCTGGCTGCCATAGAAACGGGGGGGGGGGAGGGAAGATTAATTGGGCTATGTAGGGGAGGGGAAGAGTGCTGAATGCTTGAGAAGGTGAACTGTAAAAATTGGGAAAACTTTCTTGAATATGCTTACTTGCTTACTGCACAGCTGCAGCTTCTTATCTATCCAGGCCAAGGTCAACCGCCCTGGCGAGCCAGATGTCTGAAACACCACCTGAAGATGTCCCACATGACATTATGCATATCTCAGATTGAATGGCCAGTTTGAACTATTGGGGGTGGGAACATTGGCATAACTTTCTATATGTGATTTTTGATCCTATTGCTTCAGATCTTGTATTCCTCTCATGCCACCATATCAATTTTCAGTAAAAGTCCTTTTCTCTAAAACAATGGAGTCTAAGGTTTTCTTTCTTGGATTTTGACCTGACACGGATCAAGCCTTAATTCTATTTGATGCCAGGACTGCAACTGAAAAATAATGTCTCTTTGTCTCCATCTGCCACAGTTCCTTTATGTGGTAATTGGAGATTTCATCAGAAAGGCTTCATTTCTTGGTGATGAGAAGTCAATTAGATTGTTTTAGGTCCTCCTGAATTTTCATTGCTTTCACATTTTAAATAAATTTTAATGGCTTGAATAAATAGGGTGGAATCATCTGAAGGTTTCTAATGGTTGATAGTAATATGCTTATTTAATTCTCATATGGAAAAAATTCATACATGATGCTAGGTCACAATATGATGACCTGGAAGCAAAAATAATAATAAGAAAAGCGAAGATAAAACTGAAATTTCATTTCATTTACATTTAATTAAAAGTGAAAATAATATAATTGCTTCCTAATCATATATTTAAAGGAGCACTACATCTTACATTTATAACTGACTTCAGGCTAATGTTTATAAAGCTGATATTTATGTTACACTAAATCTGAATTATCTCTCAGTAGGATATGTCTAAGAACTGAGTTAAACATTATACAGATAATAAACATGCAAAAACCAGTCTTGAACTAAGGGTACCTAGGAGAGAAATCAGAAAATCCAAAAAAAAGAACATGGTAATCAATCCATCATAAAAAAAGTAAACCCAAGAGAACTTCATTAGATCAGAAGAATTCAGGCAAAAGAAATAGCCAAGAGATAGACAGGAGCAAAAGAATCTGCATAATCTAAGTTTCCAACCACAAAGAAACGAGGCAGAAGCACAGGAACCAAAGGATTGCCATCTCAGTGTAGTTCAAAATCACCGTATAACTCAGAATTCTGAAGTTTACATATTATATCAAAATAAATCTTATAGTTCTTGAGCCATCAATTAAACTTTTGAACAAAGGTGCTATGTAAACACTAGCATTTCTTATGGTTTTCTGTGAACACGTGAATATTATTTAAAAATTCTGTATCATATTTTTTGGTCCAATACTTAACTATTATTGTTTTTCAATTTATACATAGTGCACCTAGTGGACATTTGGAATGTTATAGAAGCATTGCGGGAAAACTCTTTGAACAACTTGGACCCAACTATAGAGCTGAATGTGGCTCGACTCGAAGCTGTGCTGTCCACTATTTTTTACCAACTCAACAAACGTATGCCAACAACCCACCAGATTAATATCGAGCAATCCATCAGTTTGCTGCTCAACTTTTTGCTGGCAGCTTTTGATCCGTAAGTCTCTTTAATAATAATGAATGCTTGTTTTTCTGTTTGTTGTAGGAAAAGTTTAGCTCTTGAGAAAAGTCCTGATTTCAGAAAAATGATGAACTTATTCAGAACTGAAAATTGCACATTTCTATACTACATTCAATCTCATTTTCTTCAAAGAATTGGGAAATACACATTCAGGAATCAGTTGGAAAGACTTCTATTTGGCAGTGAATTGAACAAAGAAAATAATGCACTGGGGAAAGGTTTAGTCCATTATTTATCCAATCCTGATTTCACCCCCCCTCCCTCCGTCCCTCCCTCCCTCCCCCCCTCTCTCTCACACACACACTATAATAGTTTTACTACAAGAATCTTGGGAATATATTGTATATAATGTTTATTTTGAGCTGGAACTGATACATCAGAATAGGAAACTTTTGTGTTCTTTGGATATTACTGCATATGTAAACATCTACAGCAGAGGTGTCAAACTTGATTTCACTGAGGGCTGCTTCAGGGTTGTGTTTGACTTCAGGGGGCTGGAGAGGTGTGGCCAGGGTAGGCATGGCCAGTTCGACGTCACTCATGTCAGGGGAACCTGTGGTGGCCAAGTGCTAAGGCAGAATTTCCCTCAGACCTTCCCTCCCTTTCATTATAATCTCCCTCCCTCCCTCCCTCCCTTCCTTCCTTTTCTTCTTTTTCCTTCCCTCTTTTCCTTCTTTGTCTTTCATCTTTCCCTTTCTGCCTCCCCTCCCTGAGCTCCATTGTCACTGGCAGAGGGCTGCAGAAGACCATTGTGGCTGAAAACAAGACCCAGGAGGGCCACACGTGGCCATCCTGGGCTCCGTTTTTGCTGACAGAGGCATCACGGGCCAGTCCTTTCCAGATCTAAGGCAGTTCCGTGGGCCAGATCTAAGCACCCCCTGGGCTGCATCTGGCCTGCAGGTCTTGAGTTTGACACCCCTGATTTACCTTAATAATTATTTTATTGTGATAACATTAACTGGTGGCTTATTATTTGAATTGAATGCTTTTTGCTGCATGCCTTTGCAACTGTGAATAATTTTAGTTTCCTCCCAGCTGGTACAGTGAATTGTGAAAAAATAAATGGAAAGAAAAACATTGGAATCGATGCTATTTACCACTTCCTTAGAATGCAAAGTTCCAGTTAAAAAAAAAACAATTTTAATGGGACTTCCTTAATATCATCCCATAGATGAATTGTCTGTGTGAATATGCAAATAATAGTAATTGAAGATAGGATCTATCAGTACGCTGCTGTCATTCTTAAAAGCATCTGAATAGCCTGGGATTACAAACTGGACTGACTGGCATCTTTTCTGATCTGTGTGACTTGCAAATTATCCATTACAACATTGCTGCTTTAACTGCATTTTATTTTGGAAATGTACTGGTTGGAAATCAACACAATTACAGAACATTCTGATGAGTTTATTTATCTTCCCATTTGTCTATCACCCTCCTGTGTCCTCTCCAATATACATTTGATGGACCTTTCGTTTGGTACTGTGTACTTTCCTAAGCCAGATCAACTAGTACAGCTAGTCACCATGGAAACAGCTGAGTTGGTGGGAAAGCAACTGTTCCACATGAAGAAGCAGCAGAGGCGCTGTATGTTTGCATCCAAACATCTCCCTTCCCCTCCCCAAGGAGAAATTGTCAGCAGGCTGTAGAAATATGGCCTTCAGCATTTTTGAAAGGCTGTACAGTGTACAGGGCAAGGTGTTTTTAATATATGCAGATCCTGAATTTTTGACTCTTAACAAGAATAGGAAGGCAACCAATTGCAAATGCTTGGACACGTACTTTATTGCTCACTGTCAAGTCACTCACACAAAATCATAGCTGTGAAAATGAGATCATTATGATATACATTTTTCTATTGTTCAATTAACCAAGAAAGATGTGAGACTGTTTTTTTAAATAAAGGAGAATAATGAAATTAAGTATGTAGAATAAGCTCAATGAATGCTACATGGGTTTTTCTTAGCTGAGTAATTGAACTAGAATGTGAGAGTGTTTCCAGTTTGCTCACAAGTAGTAATTCATTTAATTGTGCAAATTGCACAATTGTGTCCAGACAAAAGGCTTGGAATTTGTAACAGCTTTCATTAAGGGATTAAAGATAAGGCAAAGGAGCAAATCATTGTAACAATGTGGTCCTAACATTTTTTTTTCATCTAATAATATGGCCCAAGCATACATGAACATATATCTACATCTATGCCCACATAAAAACTTTCAAGCTGAAAGCAGATAGTCACCAATTAAATAGATTTGAGGTGAGGGTCTTTGAATCACTGTACAACTCATCCTTTGCTTATACCAAATTGTATTTAATCTCAAGTAAGTGCTGTAAAATAAAATATTTCATCCCTGGAAATCAAAGATCTAGAGCATTATAGAGGATTTACACTTTTCCATAATTCATCCCTCCACAAAACATTTACACTTCTGTTTAGTACCTGATCTCTGCCATAAAACAATGATCAATGCATGCTGGAATTGGAGATAGTCATGTCCACCTTGGAAAATTTATAGATGAATTTGCTGCTAAAGCAGAGTCCTATCATATAATTTTTTTCTTTGCAAAACAAACATCTCATCCCAAAAATATCCAAGTAAGGTTTAATGAAGAGAAGTGCTGTACATTATTAAGTATCTACCATCCTAGGCTGAAAAAGATAAGCAGTTCAAACCTGGTTAGGAGCTGGCTCCTGTGTGATCCCAGATTAGATAGGAAAGTTGTGGGGGGGAACTCCTGTAAAAAGGCAGTGGCCAACCGGTTCTGTATATTGCAAAGAAACTACATGAATATATCCATGGAGTCATCAGGGGATCAAATGATACTAAACGAAGACTTTTGTTATTTCTTATATGTGAATTTTTTTTAAAAAAATCTGAAGTCTACAATGGGCAATGCTTTGATTAGAACTAACCAACTGTTATAAAGAAATGCATAGGTTTTGAGGGTCCCAAGGAGTTTTCATTGGGCAGGATGGTACAACAAGCAAGGATTACAACAAGAGAGAAAATGTCCCACAATTTAGCTAATGTTCTTGTTGTCTCCAAGAATCTGATTATTGAATCAAACTTTTGGAGGCTGCACAATACATTGAAGCACAAATCAACCAAACGTATCTGTACAATATACTGAGTCCTAAAAAATGTAATCAAAGGTAATATCGACATTTCATATTGTATAAAAGTGTTGTGATGTCTTTACTTCATCCACCAAAGTATGTTGCATAATAGCACTTTTGATGTCTATGGTTTAGATTCAAATTGAAGATGCCAATTTCCAGATTGAATTAATTAGTTAACTGTTTGTTGGTGTTACGCTATGCTATGCATAGAAAAGTAGCAATGGCTGATTTCATGGTTCTGAAATCATAAAGCCCAAGTTTAACTTGAAAATGGCCCTTACCTTCAGCAAAATACTTCCTAGCAAATCATATATATTAAAAAAAAAAGAATGAAGGGTGGAAGAGGAATTAAGTCAGTGCTTCTTTCTTAAATCCATAATTGAACTGAAATGTAATGATCTTTCAGCATATTTTGCAGTTTTGTAATGTGTACACCTTGATTAAAAAGTTTACAGCATATACAGCATATTAAATGAAAATGCATGCATAAGCAAAAATATAAAAATCCATTATATTATGGAAAAATGTTTGCATATGTATTAATTTTGCATAGACTAGAGAAATATTCACAAATTAATGCAAAAAATATAAAGGAGAAAATGAAACTGAAAAAATGAGAAATGGAGAAAATCAAGATTTGACAGTCAAGAATCTCCATTTTTATTTAGATGGCAAATTGTTACAAATGGGTTTATTCTCATTTGATTATTAATCATAGTCTCAGATTTGAAAAAAGAAATGCAAGCCTAAGATATTTGTGCTATGTTACTCAACAACTATGCAATGATTATTTTATGTTTTCTTGTATAGAGAAGGACATGGAAAAATATCTGTGTTTGCTGTCAAAATGGCCTTGGCAACACTTTGTGGAGGAAAGATTATGGATAAATTAAGATGTAAGTCTCTCTATGAATTTTAATAAAGTAGTTCATTAGGGAACAATATTTGTTTGGTTTTTAGTATAATAATCAAACTTAGCAAAAATATTCTTGAACAAATTTGTGTATGGACTTCATAGAAAATTCTCATCATTGCTAATATCTGTGACTTCTTTTTAGAATTTTTGAATTAAAAATAATTATGTTGCAATTTATTTATTTATTTATTTATTTATTTATTTATTTATTTATTTATTTGATTTGCCAATTGTTTACAAGATAATAAGTGTATACATAGTTGTGAATACATGAAATGGGTACATATAAGAAAAATAAAAGAATAAGAGAAACAATAGGACAGGGACGGTAGGCACGATGGTGCGCTTATGCACGCCCCCTACAGACCTCTTAGGAAAGGGGTGAGGTCAATAGTAGACAGTCTAAGGTTAAAGTTTTTGGGGTGTGGGGAAGAGACTACAGAGTCGGGTAGAGTATTCCAGACATTGACCACTCTATTGCTGAAGTCGTATTTCCTGCAATCAAGTTTGGTGCGGTTTACTTTGAGTTTGTATCTATTGTGTGCTCTTGTGTTGTTATGGTTGAAGCTGAAGTATTCATTGACAGGTAGGACATTGCAATGTATGATTTTATATACCATGCTTAAGTCAGACCGAAGACGGCGTAATTCAAGGTTTTCTAGTTTTAGAATTTCAAGTCTGGTGGCATAAGGTATTCTACAACGAGTAGAAGAGTGGAGAACTCTTCTTGTGAAATATTTCTGGACTTTCTCAATTGTGCTAATATCAGATACGTAATGTGGGTTCCAGACTGATGAACTGTATTCGAGTATTGGTCTAGCAAATGTTTTGTATGCTCTGGTTAGTAGTGTGATATTACCAGAGAAAAAACTACGTAGGATTAGGTTAACAACTCTTAATGCCTTTTTGGCTATGTAGTTGCAGTGGGCTCTAGCACTTAGATCATTAGAGGTGAGTATTCCAAGGTCCTTTACAGAGCTTGGGTCATCAACAAGATCTTGACTATTCAGCTTGTATTTTATTTTCTGATTTTTTTTGCCAATATGTAAGACAGAGCATTTATTTGTTGAGATTTGAAGTTGCCATTTGTTTGACCATTCGGATACATAGTCAAGATCTTTTTGTAGGGTAGCAGTATTGTCTGTGGTATTGATGAAATAAATTATGTGTTTTCCTGACTAGTTTTTATAATGTTAAAAAATGTGAAAATACTGTAAAATTGCCATCATAGGATCATTCCCCATACCTACCCCAGTGTTTGAGAAGTAAAAAACAAAATCTCCACAATTACTCAGGCGGCTCAGATGAGCAAAGATTCCCCAGCTTATGCAATGTCACATCACTGTTTTGGCTACCAAACTATTACAGTACTTTACTCCATATTAATTACCTATAAAATATTTGTTAAATGTTTTATAGCAAGGGTCCCCAACTCCCAGTCTGCAGACTGGTACTAGTTTGCAGCCTGTTTGAAACTGGGCTGTGCAAGCTTTAGGCAAAAATCGCACATGCGCAGGATTAGGCTGCACACATGAAACCATCCTCCTTCCCCTCCTTTACTGCCTGCTGCCAGTCCATGAGGCTGGAAAGATTGGGGGCCACTGTTTTATAGGATTTATTTTTGTCTGAGTCCGAAAGGAAGCAATGAGCAACACCTTTGAAAAATAGGCCAATTTGGTTATTAGATTAATCAAATTTGCTTAATTGGGTTCCAGTTCCAATTAAAATACTGGTTTTAAATAAGACATTCAGTACAACATTTAGAGAGTACACACGTATAATTTAATGTCTGATATAGAATCATTCTCTATAAAACATCACATATTTTATTTTTAAAACCAGTTCTCTAATATGAAACATATATAACCAGTCATCTATCTATTTAGTCATTAATTTTACATTTAAACAGGACTTTAAATGTAGAATTACTCTGACCAGATGAAGAAACTCAGAATATATCCAGCAGACGTAGTGAATCAGTTTAATGGGATAAGCACATGATCAACATTTGACAAAAAATAAATATAAAACAAAAATAAATAACATATAAAAATAATAATAAAAAATAATAAATAGATAAAAATCCTCAAAGGCAAATTGGATGGACCACTAGGTCTTATTTGCCATTACTTTTCTATGTTTCTATATTTATCAGTCTACAAAGAGCCATCTTCTAGTTTACTGCTATCATTCTACTAACTAAAGCAAAGCAAAGAATACACAGGTTAAAATGAAAAATGCATTTAATAATATTACTTTCAGAAGACATTGAGACCAAAACTATAGTGACATGCTGCTACATTATGAGAAACAAAAGTAAAACTAAACAACTACTAAAATAACTAGCAGCCCTCTCCCACCCCCCCACTCACCCCCCAAAAAAGATTCTGAGTTTCTCTGAAGACATCTTCAAGCAGGATGTTAGGGAGAAAAGAGATAACAAGTATTGAACATGGTATTCTGATTTAGTTATATTAGCCATTCTTTATGAATGTATTTCTATATTGCTTGCCATATGAATATATCTTGAATTATACGACGAAGTAATTAAATATTAAACATTAAGTGTAAAATGGATTTATAATCCCTTTTATACATATCTATTTTAAAATATGCCCCCTTCCCTTCTCTTTTGATAACATTTCGTATTCTATCACTTTTGGAGAAAAATAAACATTGGCTGCTTCTGTCCTTTAGAAATAATAAAAGATATATATTTGAAGAACTTCACTATACCCAGAGCATAAACAATTATTTTGTTTATTATTTATAATTAACAATGATTTATTACTAATAAATATATTATTTGAATTTTGAACCTGAAGACTATTTGTCCAGTACTTTTAATTGTTCTTAATAAAGATAGTTCTTTCTATACTTGCATTGAGGTCATCTCTGGTACTGATTCATAGTTCTATGTCATTTACCACAGTATGGCAGTGTGGTGCTACATACTGAGGATGTAGTAAGTTACCACTGTATAGAATATGCTTGCAGTTCAGCTTAAGAATTTAGATCTGTAATTCATAGCTTTTTGTTTCAAAGTTTCCACTTTTTTTCCCCATCAGATATATTCTCAATGATTTCAGACACTAGTGGGATAATGGTATATGGAAAATATGACATGTTTTTGCGGGAAGTTCTTAAACTGCCCACTGCAGTCTTTGAAGGTCCTTCTTTTGGTTATACGGAACAATCTGCAAAGTCTTGTTTTGCTCAACAGGTAAATAAAATGTTATTCATTTATTGCTGTTCGTCATATTCATACTGGCATACAGTGTCAAAATCCAATTATATTTTATTTAGTTTGAAATAGGATCTATCTTTTGTCCTTGCAATCCAGAGTGGTACTGTAATAGAATTTCATATAGGTGGGACATGGACTGTACGTAATGCACTCCCTATTTAAAATAAAATATCCTAAAATGAACTTGTGTAATGTTGTGAATTTGATGAAAGCTGCAGAACGAGTTTATCTTCTCTCCTGCTGGAGAGAAAAACATATGTACATGAATAATTGGATAAGAAAAATGAGCTCTCTATCCATTAATCCCTTCCTCCTTTTTTCTTCTTGCTTAAGCAAAGCTATTACCTTATTAGCAACCAAATTATTTGACATCTCATCTTGATCCTATTCTCAGATAAATATTGTTGATGAAATGAAACTTCTGATATGATACCATATTCTGAAATGTGAAAGTATCTCCATGGAGATAGCCAATGTTGCGGCCATCAGAGAAAATTCAGAACTACTCAATAAAACTGTGTTTCTAACTCTTACATCATAAAATACCCATTTTATATAGATCTTTTTCCCTTTTCAGTCACCTCTAATTCCACTAATTCTTCTCAATACCATAGAGAAGACACATTCAGAAGGAAGCAGCAATTGTTTTTGTGTCCTTTATAGTAGAACTAGCTGATAACCCGGTGTTGCCTGGGTATTTATTTATCCCAATCATGTATTAGACAGGAAAAGGAATGAATTATATCTATAGTGTCAAATCAGACACTAAAAAGTAGAGTATACAAATTATAAACTTTTTTTAAAGAATAAAATCCCCTTACCAGAAGGGGTCCCCTTGTGCAGTACTGTGAAGCCATTACCATGGCAACCCCACTGTGCTGTACAGTAGAAGCCATTTTAAGGCACAGCGGGCTGTATCTTAACAGAACTTGAATCCAAATGCACACTATCACTGTCAAAAGTACTATGATTTGACACTATAAATATACTTAATTCCTTTCCATTTCAGCGGTCCAGGCATTCCAGAGTTATGCTGGAACACACACATATAGACACACACACACATCCCGAGGGATGTTAGGGGTATCATACCCCCACAGTATTTTTTTCCAGAGAATAAGTCATCTGTGTACTAAGTTTGGTTGAAATTTGTTGAGGTGCTCCAGAGTTATGTTGGAACACACACACACACACACACACACACACACACACACACACACACACACTGAGGGATGTTAGGGGTGTCTTACTCCACAGTATTTGTTCCAAGACGGTAGGTCATCTGTGTACCAGGTTTGGTTGAAATTGCTCAAGGCGTTCCAGAGTTATGCTGGAATATACATACATACATACATACATACATACATACATACATACATACATACACAGAGGCAGATAGATAGATGGATGGATGGATAGATAGATGATAGATAGATAGATAGATAGATAGATAGATAGATAGATAGATGATAGATAGATAGATAGATAGATAGATAGATAGATAGATAGATAGATAGATAGATAGATAGATAGATAGATAGAAGATAAGTAGATAGATGATGGAACAGAGTTCCACAAAACGAACACAATCACTAAGAAGTATTCAATTCAGGAGCTGAAAAGAAAAAGAATGCTGCTATTACACACCATGAGGGAATTTATAACATAAGTTATTGAATTATTTCTTTGATCAATTATTATGTGGTTTATCGTTGAACCCACAACGTATTTGAATTAGTGATGTCTTCTTAAAAGAGACTCCTGGATTTTAAGTTACCTTAACCAACATCATGAGAGAAGTTTTATAATTTAATTGCTTGCATTTTCATCTACAAATACAATATATATTTCTGCTGAGAAAACTAAACTCATTACATTATTTGCTAATGTTTGTTTCTTGCTTTGTTTATGTTAACAGAAAAAAGTTACACTGAATGCTTTTTTGGATACTCTTATGTCTGATCCTCCCCCACAATGTCTTGTCTGGTTGCCACTTCTACACCGATTGGCAAATGTTGAGAATGGTATGTAGTTAAAACGTGAGGAACAACTGAAATAGCAACCTAAATTGTTAACTCTGAACTACTGGCTATCCTTAATTCATCCCATTCATGATGATTGGGTAGAAGAAATTAAATTCCTTCCACAATATTAGGGAAAGAAAGTTGCTTAATTTTTGGAGCAAATTGTAAACTTTTCTTACTTTAAAAAGCCTCCATGCTGCTACCTGCATACCTGTTGGACCTGTTTCTTTTGTGCATTTGAAAAGTGCGGGGCCAGACTTATCTCCGAATGGAATGCATTACATAACTTAGGAGAAAGATTTCTATTGCTGAAAGTGATGGCATCTTAAGAGAGAGACATATAGATTTTAGCATACAGATTCATGGCAAGCCCTTCAAAAAGTTACATGTTAAGTAATTAGGCTTTACATGTTAAAACTAACATTTAAAATAACTAACATAAGTTATACTTGGAAAATAACTATGGGCAGCTAGGGTTAGGGTGTGATATGGTCCTCATATTGTGCTTTGGCTGGCAAGCTACTTCCTGTGCTTTGATTCAGTTCAAGTCTCCAGATCAACTTAAGCTTAGTCCCATGTAGAATATACTGAAAGTCCAGTCACTATGAAAACAAGATAATAACATAACTGTAACTATCTCTGAATGCTTAATTGATGCCTAGATATAATCATGGAAAGCCATTCCTTGGCATTATTCCATGCAGACTTCACACAACATTGAAAAGATCGCAGTTGCTCTTTCAATGGACAGGCTTTCCCGTCTAGAAAGACTGAATTCAAATCCCCATGACTGTTTTTCTACTAATTACAGTTCTATTGTCTTGTCTGAATTTAATTTATGATACCGCCTAACTGAAAAAAAGAGTGGTTTGGAATGTGCTTAAATTCCTAGAGTATAGGCATTTCATTCTTGTCTCCTCTTATCTTTATCAAACTGGCATGATACACCAAAAGCACTCATCTCCCAAATGGAACCATTATGCTTGCATCTTTGATCTATATCTCCTTTTCTTTCCAAGCTGAACTTAGTAGATATCTTCCCTTAATATTTTCTTTCATATTTTTGCTGTAGTTTCCCTCTTGGAACCAGATGATTCATTGAGAGAAAATTGTAATGATTTAGAAATGAATTTGATTTTGAAAATTATAATCACACGAGGATGTTTTCAAGACTTCTTAATAGCTTCAGTTTTAACAATATGCTGATTAATTCTTTTATTTGGTTTGAATATATATCCCCCCTGCAGTCTTCCACCCTGTTGAGTGTTCCTATTGCCATAGTGAGAGCATGATGGGATTTCGCTATCGATGCCAGCAGTGTCACAATTACCAGCTCTGTCAAGATTGCTTCTGGAGGGGACATGCCAGTGGTTCCCATAGCAACCAACACCAAATGAAAGAATACACATCATGGGTAAGGGAAGGTTCATAAATTACTTCAGACTGTTTGAACTTAGCAGTGAGAGATTTAGAAATGACTGAATCATTTTCCTTAAGATCACATATAAGAAGCTGACTTTGTTAACTAGAAGTTTCTATAATGGAGAAGCCCTGTCTGGGTTCCTGGTTCAATCAGTACTGAAATGTCAAATGAGAAAACTGGATAGTGTGGCTACTACCATCAGTGTAGATTTGAGCAGTCTAACAGGTGAAACTAGGTGGATGACAGAACAGCTGCAGGAGGATCTTGGATTATAAAACTATCTCTACAGTAAGTTACTAATTTTTGTAGGACATAGTCAATATGTTGGATTTTCTATTTGTTGTTTGCTATATATAATAAGAGATGCATAAAGATACACCTAAACTCATAATACATGCATTCCTAAATATTGTGTAGATGGGATTCAGAAGTAAAAATGAACTATGAAAACTACTGATTTACTACGAAAGTCAATTAGATGTTGATGTAAATATATATGCTATAAATTCAGCTCAGTTGTTTAACTGCTGCTTAGCAGTTTACATTTTTCATATAAGCTGTAATGCTTATAATGCTATACTCAACTGAAACATATTCAGATGGCTTTCTTCATTTTCCACAAGTATCTGAAATTGTATTTGTGATTGTACTGCTCATACAAGCCACAGCTAAATTGATCTAATTCATTAGATTCAAACTTATATGTAATAGACATCAATGCCCATATTCCTGGCAGTTAATTCTGTTAGATCAATAAGATTTGCTTTTAGTTATTCAAAAAACTGCAGAATAATTAGATTGTAGATTAAACTCTATCACAGAGAATGCATTATGAAAATGAAACCTCTTTGTCTTTCCAGTTCCTGAGATGATCATAGCTGTATTATTAGAAAGGATGGAATAGCCACACTAAAAGTGCACTTGGACTTGTGCTACAGATACTAGATAAAAATTAAAGTTTGCAGTACAAAATCTGTAGCACAAGCTGTTGCTTCTCATTTTGTAAACACAAAGAAAAAGACTGCGATTCTCTGATGGTGTGATTAGCAATACCAATTAGATTGGTCATTAGGTGGGCAGTGAATGAAAGATTTGATTCTGCTATAGCTTATGAACTCTCACTTCTTAATATTAATTAATATCTGACTTTCTAAAGCAGAAATGTATCTGAATGACTGGACCATCGAAAAATAAAAAAAATGTAGTTCTGTATCTCTGTTTTCTTCTTAATTATTTTATCATTAATATGATTAGCTTCCAGATCTGACTTCTAATTAGCAGTTATTTAGAGATTTATGCTTTTAGAATAATGAAGTTTCATGGCAAGCTTGGGATTCATTTGTATCCTCTGCATTCTTTAACACAAGGTGACCGGTGAATTGGGAAATACTGTATCTATATTTATGCTAAAATCCCCTGTGAAATCACATCCTCTTTAAGGTCCATTGATAGATTTATAAGCATATGCTGAGATCATCCAGAGCCACAGAATAAATGGACTTGAGAGTTGGTGCAGGATAGTAGTAACCAGCAGAATATGGTTTTGTTTTATCTTCTTATCCTTCTACTGCTGGCAGCAACAGTAATTAGCCCTTATCTGTCCAAATTACCTTTACCTTTCTTGTTTCTTCTAGAAATCTCCTGCTAAGAAGTTAACTAATGCACTTAGCAAGTCTTTAAGCTGTGCTTCCAGCCGTGAACCCTTGCACCCAATGTTCCCTGATCAGCCTGAAAAACCTCTAAACTTGGCACATATAGTGTAAGTATTTATATGCTCTTTGTTCTACCGTATATGCTGTTGGCCTTCACTTAAGGTTAAATGAAAAGAAACCACCTAATGTTATGATTTACAGAATTGTACTAATGCTACAATAACTGTAATGATTATGGAACTTACTGACCTATGTATAACTCACTTATTGACAAATGCAGCAGCTAATTTTTAAAATTTTATAAAAACTAAATGCTTGAATTAAATCACAAAATTACATTATTATTATTTAAATAAATGCTATAGTTTATCATTTGGCAATTGTCTCTATAAATTTTAATTTAATTTAATAAAGTTTAATTTTAATGCAGCAAATTTAGCATAAGTTATGAAGTAATTTAACTTACATATACACACACACGCACATATGCCACTTACAGGTAGTTATTTCCAACAGAAAATGCTGTTACGTTTTTTGACATGAAATAACCTTTGTAGTATGAAAGAGGGTACCTTGTATTTTAAATTATTTATTCCTTTTTGTAAGTATGCCTTAATTTTTGAAATATCTTTTATCGATTGTGTATCAAATATTCTGTTCTTTTTTCAGGGAGTACAGTACATTGTACTATATAGAAAAATTACACTCAGTTAGGTTGATCCAACAAATGCTGTAAACAACAATGTTATGACTTTTGTGTGAAATTAGTCAGAGTTGCTACAAAACCTGGTATATATAAATGTCTTAAGATAGAAAAATGCAGCCTTTTAGCTCCAGTTGTCCCATATGATGTTAGGGACAACAGCTTCCCTAATTATTATTGCTGGTGTTAGTTTCTCAAAACATCTGAAAAGCAAATGTTTGCCTATTCCTGCTCTAACATATGAACCGAGGAGCTGGTCTACTAATACAAAACACTCTAGAGCAGGGGTTCAAACTCACGGCATCACGGTGTCATCAGGTGACGTATCGGGACTTTTCCCCCATTCACTAAACCAGGAGTGGGCATGGCCAGCATGTGACACATCTGGCTCATGGGCCAGGAGTTTGACAGCCCTGCTCCAGAGGGATATGTTTGTAAAGTTTTACAGCAAACACATAAAAAAATTTTAAGGCACCAAAATAATTAACATATTTAGTATCATAGCCTCCTTATAATAATGTCTTGCTCCTATCCATATTATCTAAATGTTTTAGTGTTCCTACTGTTTTAAAATGTTTTTAGTAATTTTAATTGAAATATATTTTTTGAATTATAAGTTAGCCGAATTCATTGGCTGAGATGCGCAGCTATAATAGTTTAATAATTAATTAAATAAATAAATAAACATCACATACTCAATTTAGAAACAAGAAAGGAGTTCCATGTATCTCTCTGAAGGTGGTGTTAGCACAATGCTTTTGAAAAAAGATATATATCACAAATCTGTGTGGGGAGCTGGGGAATTTTTTGGAGTAGTTCTTGGAAAATATGAAAGACCACAGGAGGTAAAAAGAAAACTCCCATTAGAAGTCTCCTAAAGTGATAGAAATTAGTCTCATGGCAAAAATGTGCAGTTGTTCTCAGTTTTGAACTATACATTTGAAATATTTGCATGTGAGAACAATTATGTTGTCCTTCAACATGGTAAATTAGCATAGCCCTTACTAATACTTTACTTCAAATATTAGAATATTAACATTGTTCCTCCACTGTTTAAAAAGACTAGACTGCATTTAACTAATAAGGTTCTCTTACTTTTATTTTGCCTGCAAAAGAGATACCTGGTAAGTAATGCATTATCCCTTCAAGCATTTTAATGAGGAAGAAACAAAATTTTACATTATTTATTAGAAGAGAACTAGCTGGGAAGCTCATAAAAACTGTTGAATACTGTCTGCCTTTCAATTGTAATTTACATTTTCTAAAGAAGAGAAACTAAAGATCAGCTTGTCTCTCATAGCTCCTATTGCACATATTAATCAGTTATATGTAATATCTACAGTACATATCTTGATTTTATTTTTTACTGTATGAATAAACTGTCTTAAAATATAGAAGAGATCAGATGGTTTATTCAAGTATATTGTGAAGTCTTTTTTTCTGGTAGTCACAAATAGGTTTATTTCCAATTATTTGGAATTTATAGCCTCTTTCAATATATTTAGAATTTATAAGCTACTTCTGGTCTTCACCAATTTTGCTCAAATTATAGTAATGGATGTCTGCTATATGAAAGAATTCAGAAATATATTGACTTCTACATGGCTAAGAATACAATATTATCAGGAACCTTGCCTGCACAGAAATCACTGTCGGTGAAGTTTCCCGTGCAGATAACTATTGGGTGGATGTCTTATAATTGTGATGTAATTTGGAGGGAGATGACACTTAATGGAAATACTTATACCAGTGTTTCTCAACCTGGGCAGTTTAAAAATGTGTGGACTTCAACTCCCAGAATTCCCTAGTTTACATCTTCAAGCTGTCAAAGTTGAAACACTGGTTTATAGGATAAGTACTTATCTTTTTGCAAACTTGTTTAGGAACTCAAAGTAGACCTATTTGGCTGTTCAAAAATGGAGAAATTTTCTGTCAAACAATTTAATGTCTTTCTGAAGAAAGTCTGTATTTCTAATTTATCAAACACTTCTGTGAACTTTTTTGGAAAAAAAATACCAAAGAAGGAAGAACAAAGCAAAGAAATAAAGCTGCAGAAAATTTCCATGGGTGACTTGAAAAGAATGGATTTCTAACATTAAGCCTTGTATGTAAAAAATATAAAATTTAAACTTTTGCATTTTTAATGTAGAAGAAGATTATAGTTTCAGGACATTCTGCAGTATTATTGATTGATCACATTCACTTACGTTTACATTTTTTATTTCATGCCCTGTTGTTTACAAACAAGACATTTTTTTTTAACTTTCTATTTTCTTTCAAGGCCTCCTAGACCGGTTACCAGCATGAATGATACACTGTTCTCCCACTCTGTTCCCTCAGGAAGCCCTTTCACAAACAGAAGGTGAGAGGTTTTTTTTTTAATACACTGCATATATCTACATGCAGGATTTTTTTATTTTAATTTCAAAGATTACTATGAAAAGATAGTACAGAGTAAGCATTGAACCCTTTCAATTTTTTTTGTTTAAAATAAGTTTGATAATTTGCACTTCCAAGACAGATGCAAATACTGAACTTTTTTTTTAAAATAGAAACTACTGTGGTGAAAACCCTGAAATAGATGTAGATTTTGTATAGAAAAATGCTCTATGGGGGTGGGTGGGAGGGAGACAGGGAATTCCATTAAAAATTCCAGTTTGACCAGCGTGTAATGATGTACTCACCACTTTTAAATATTGGTTTGTATGCTGCATCTCTTGTTACCTCCCCAAAAAGTTAAATGAAGCTCCAGGGCACCAAAGGGTTCTCTGTACTTGCTTTAAAGTATAAACAAAGTAAACAAAATAGTTCAGGCTTTTCATTCATCACTGAGGACAAGGAAGAATTCAGATCGCCTTGGAATGACACTGGCCAAATCTAAACAGTCTTTGTGTTAATAAATATCCATAATCAAAATTAACATATATAACACATCAAATGTTAAAATAACTAATTCAAATGAAGTGACAGCCAAATCCATCAAAAAAATTTCTCAAACTACATTAAGTCTAGATGGCAGCCAGTTACTCCATGTTCTGTGGAATAACTCAGTATTGACATTTTTCCTGAATGAAATCAAGGTGAGTAGACTTTGGTTTAACCTGGAGACTACTCCAAGGAGTTTCTGCCAAGAAAGAGGTACTCTACGTATTGGCCTCCCTCACTTTTTGAAGAGGAAAATAACAAGCAACTGGTTTTTTTTCCTCGAGGACAACGCTGCTGGGTCAAGGGATGAAGATTAGATAGTGTGATCCTGCAGATATCCAAATATATATAGGTATTGTTTGTTAAATAATGTACCTAGATAAAGGTCTATGCCTGGTTCAATATTAACTAAATTGACATTATATAAGATTAATAAGATATAAGATTCAAAGATTCAAAGACTCTCTGAAATGCCCACATTAGGAGGAAACCTCCTTGTTTGTTAAACCAGTTTCCTATGACATTCACACTGGACAAATTTATTTTAAGAGCTTCTAACCAGCATTTCAAACAACGAATTGAAATTTTTATTTTTAGAGAAGGCTGAAACCCCAGTTTCTTGATTTAAACTCACGGAGATGTAAAATACCAGGAAGCCTTCTCTGAGCACAAAGATGGAGAAGGATATAAAGAATCTAAATCTATTTTCTTTTCACTGAAGATATGTTTGCTGCACCTTAAATGATTTGCTTAGAAATATTTTTAAAGAATAGTGATCTGGAATTAAAGATGACTAAGAAATTCAGTCTTTATGACTTCCATTTTGAGTGGTCCACATCTGCATTTTCCAGCCCAATAGAATGTAGCAATTAGTAGAGTTTACGTTTTTCTGATCTATTAAGACCCAGAATGCTTAGCTCAAAAATATGTCAAATCTATGTATCTTGAAAGAGCATACTTTCAAATACATTTTAAAAATGCATTTAAATGTAACTATTTGTGCAGATTTTCATTAATAAATAATGCATGAAATAGAATTATGCAAATTAATGAATAAAATAATTTATGAGCAAACATATAATCTATTGATGTAAATCACAATAGGGCATCTACTTAAGTCTATCTAAGCTGATTCATTTTTATTATTTCTTTTTTATTACTAGATTTATAAGGCTGCTCAATGACTTGACTTTTTTGGTATAAAACAACAAAAACAAACCATTAAAAATACAGAATACTAAATATATAAATAGGAATATAAAATGAAAATCATGAAATGATGACCTCAACCAAAGGAGATTCCCACTCAATTGGCTCCAAATGCTGAGTGAATTAAGTGTAGGTGGCAGGTCCATAACACGTAGCAATAACATCGCTTTTGTCAGTTTAATGCTGCAACTTCCATGGGATAGATTGATCAATATCCATAGAAATAGTAGATACCAAAAACCAAGAAGCATATGGTGGTATACTGAAAGGTCTGTCAGCAGATTTAATTATTTTACCTACTCTTAGTTCATATTCATGCACTTAATGCCTCGATTATTTTAATTAGGAAAAAGAGAAAATCATGCAGTGGGAATATCTTCTGTCTCAACCTACTGTTCTGAGAATATGCAAAGCAGTTTATTTTGTCTAGCTGTGATCACAGTATAATGTTGCAAATTAAGATTTATTTCACTATCATTGATTTCATATATAAAAGTATGATTGCATAAAAATATTAATTAACTAAGCATATAATCTAGAGTCTCATTTATAGGAAAATACTTTGTTCACCTCTGGAGAAGAAACTGATTTCTATTCAAGGTTGGAAGATTGAGTATTTTATTAATATATTATAGGCACATTTGGCCTCTTTGCCTGGACATGAACAATCTTACACAAACCAACAGTCAAGGACAAGATCAACCTAATCAGGTGCATTAAACAAAGGCAATTCTGGGTTGAACATTGATAGCCAAATAAAGACAACTAAGAACTATTATAGGAGCATGGTCGCTAACACCAAACACATTCAGCAATAATTTCTTCATTCCTTAATTTTTACTTTATAATGAGGTCTAGAAAATTCCATTTGTTGACACATGATTATTTACTTTTGTGATAACTTTTCCATATTAAAAAGTTGCTAGTTTCTTATAATCAATAAAAGTTGGAATATGAAACTGAGGTGATATTGCTTTACATTTTCTTGCTACTATTTTTAAAATTTTCCAGTTCAAATATCCAGTATGTTGAAATAGTGTTCAAAACTCATATAAACATAAAAAAGAACAGAGGGACATATTAAGTCCAACAGTGCTTTAAAATTTAAAAATGCAGCAAAAATTCAAATATTTTCCCCGATATGTTCTTAGCGACCCACTATAGATAGTTCTTGATATACAACCATTGAGCGTTCAAAGTTATAATGGCACTGAAAGCAGTGATTTAGTATTGTTTTTCACACTTATGATAGTTGTAGCATCTCCATGATCACATGATCAAAATTTGGACGCTTTGCAACTGGCATGTGTTTATGACAGTTGCAGTGCCCTGGGGTCATGTGATTATCTTTTGCAACATTCTGACAAGCAAAGTCAATAGGGAAGCCAGATTCACTTAGCGCCCATATTACTCACTAAACAACTGTAGTGATTCACTTAACAGCTGTGGCAAGAAAGGTTATAAAATGGGGCCAAAACAAGTTAATAACTGTCTTGATTGACAATGGAAATTTTGGGTTCAATTGTGGTCGTAAGTCAAGGACTATGTGTATTCAGTGATTCAATGTCCTTGGAGGTACAAGTTGAACTTAATATGGATAACATATTCTCCATCAATTTGCTAAACATTTGAATACCATTGAAGTTACAGCCCATCATTGTATTTTTAAAAAAATGAAAACTATGATAGTTATATTGAAAGCACAAAAAGAATAGAGCTATGTTTATTCTTTAACATATTTTTTCTTTCCTCATCTCATTCTCCTATATGAATTCTTAAGAGTGATATAGATGTGTGTGCCATGTAGTTTAGTATAATAAGCTGTATTTGTTACTTAACCTAGAACCACATTGGTTATAAAACACTCCTTTGTGATTCCATCATAAACACAGTAAAAATACTGTCATAATCATAGACAATGTGCTGTGTGTTTAATTTGCTTATTTGAGTTTCTATGAAGATCATGCAAGCCACCCTTCCTTAATTATTGTGGCTTTACAAATCTCTTACAATGGCAACATCCTTTTGTAAGTTGCATGAGTGTCAACTGATACCCTATGATATGATAAATTAATTGTTGGGATATTTTACACTTAATATTATTTCCTCTCATTCAGTGATATAACTAGTAGTATCTTCTAATTATTTTTTATTCCTAGGCCTTCTAAACTTGAATTACATGTTTATACTTTGTTATTTAAAGGCAGTAGTCTTTCTGCAGTGGAACTGAATTGGATGCATTAAATCCGCATCATATATACCCCAATGTGTATTTCTATATATACATCCTGTTAATGAGGTTTCATTGTTTGACTCATTCAGGTTACTTGAGAGTATAAATATAGACAGTCTGGTGATTGATGAGCATGCTATTATAAACCTGTATGTAAATAAGCTGCACAACGATTCACGGTCAGTATGAGAGCACTAAACTACTAATTGATGTAGTTCTGTAACCTGTACACTAAAACCAATATGTTACACATTAGTCATTCCATAAGAATACTAATCAAAGAAGACTTGTTTTAAAAAAAATAAAAAAATATTTTTGTAGTTTGAATTGGGTTTCAAAATAATTCCAAGTTAAATTTGAAATTTCCAATTTTTAAGTTACTTACACTTTGTACAAGGTAAGGATTCAAATGCACAATGTAGTTACAATAAATTAGTATCTGATGCTAGGTATGGGCAATTTATAGTACTTGTTATTATTATTGATAATGGCACAACATACACAAAGGATTTGGATTTGCTCCATTCCAGGAAGCAGCTAGGTTTATTACTGCTCCATTCGCCTCTCTGTTGCATGGTGACATCCCTGCCTGAGCTATTGGATTTCATGGCTAGCTTGGCAGTTAAATCATCAAGAACGACGGTTGCTCCTAAGAGTATTGAGTCCATGGCCATCAAGACAACCATGGATCTGTCTCAAATTATTGAGAGACTAATCCTTGACAGAAATCACAGAGATTCTAATTTTTTATTTCAGGACAGTTGGAAATTGATCTGAAGACATCACTTTCAATCCTGTAACATAGTCAGTTAACCCTCTAATTGCTTTTTAGTGCTCCCCTTCCCTATATTGAGGTAGGGCATTTTCAATCAGCCCACCCAAAGCACCTAATGAACTCATTAAGGTTTAAAATAGTATTTGAGGTTTGCCCAAGGATCTGTTGAATTGTCTATAGAGGTCATGGTGGATGACTGAAGCCTTAGATTACATTGTTC